AGAATAAGAAACATTGTCCTGTTCAATAAAGAACCCTGGAAAATTCCTGGAATAGCAGAATGTACAATAGGCGAGGAACTAGAATGAAGAAAAGTTAATAAGCGAAAGCAAAAGATCTTCATAAATACAAATTCAAAGAAGACTCCTTTTGCTGTTGAAGTGTCGGGAATATAACTAAACGGAGATAAAGGAAAGAGTTCAGTAGCCTCACGGAAAAAGTTATAGTTGCTATGAGCTCGCAATATAAATTCACAACAACCAATCTTGAACTTAGTGCCCAAATCAATCCCGTCAGTTTCACAAATTTCAGAATAAAACCCAAAAGTTGCAACCAAGTCCATCAAATAAGTTCTCGTTCCACATAGAGTAGTTGCAAATCCGATTGGGAAAATCGTTCCGAGTTGATAACTCAAAAGGACAAATTGATATCGAAGAAGGGTTGCGGAATCTAGTATCTCCGGAATAATAAAAGTTCCCGACTCATTTAGTATATCTGCAAAGACACCATCTAATAAAAATTCCATATTGTCATCGTTGATAGCAGGTTGAGATAAGTTTGCAAGTTTCCCTACTAGGGCTAGTAAAGTATTCTTTACAATCAACGGAATACCCCCTGTCTTCTTCTTCAACAATTCTACGAATCGATATCGTAAATCATCGGAGGGCAATAAACAGTCCTTCAAGGACTTTCCATCATAAGTTGCCAGCTCAATATATTCGTTAATATCATGGAGATTAAACGGATTCAACCGCAACATATGGAGACTCACTCTACTGGAGCGAGCATCAGACAGGCGGGCTGAGATTTCGGCAGTTCGCCCAGCAATATACAGGATAACTTTTCCTGTATTAAGCAACTCATATACAGTTCGAAAAAATTTGCGATACGGGATATAACCAGGATCGGACTCGACGAACTGTTTCATGGTAAGTTCACTATAGTATGCGGTGAGGTCACTTAGGTGGCTAAGTTCGTCTATCATCAAAAATAAATATTGTTTCTGAAATTGTTCGAGAAGATAATCTATGATATCGTCCAAGTTGTGGTCCTTGACTATCGTTGAAGCAACGTGAGCGGCATCTTTTCTTCTTCCATTTTGACGAAAGGCTCTAAAAACTATGTTATACATCAAAGCGTCTAGAAACCTTGGAAAAGGAGCACGAGAAAAGCTCTCTCCTAGTTTAAAGCAAACTGACAAAGTGTTTTCCGCAAAGTGTTTCCAAGAAAAAATCTTCAAATCAACTTTTCCCGATGAGCTCTTGTTGAAAACCTCTGTCTTCGTCTGCTCTTCTTCTTCGTCGGCGAATTTTTTTAAAAACTTTAAAAAATTTTCACCAACACAACTCTTGCCCGCCCCAAAAATGTGAGGGGAGAAACAAGCTGCAGGACGTGGAGTATTCAAGTCTCCCCCAAATCGAGGAAACTGGTAGTAATAAGTTCGAAGAATAGAATAAACATCTTCTTTTCTATCTATCAACGGTTCGTTCAAACTCATTTTACACGCCGCCGCCAATCCGAAATCAATTCACAACTAAAGAATAAATCAATGACCGAAAAGCTTTCAAAGGAGATGGAAGAGAGTGTATGTTTTATTGTTCGAGCGATTGCTTTATTTGGTTATTGGTAAAACTGATCTCTTTGACACTTCCAGACTCACAATGACAATAGAGAGAAAGCAGGAATATTTTCTTGCTTGTCATAACTAGAAACTTTCTTTTACAATAGACAGGAAATAGGTTTCTATGAGTTTTTGTGGTGAATTAGATTGATGGGTACTCTTTCTATGGCTTGTATACTGTAAGAGAGTTTTTCTACTATCTTCCACACTATCTTACACGCAAACTCCTATATACAAGTCTAATAAGATACAAGCTTTTTGTAAGTTACAGACGAAATACAGTGGGAAACAGAGAATTGCAATGAATGGGAAGTCTGTTAGTTTGTAACCGTTCGTAGCACAGTTTATAAATACAAAAATATCTAATTGAATTTGGAGAAGAGTATAATGAAGATTGTCACACTGACTTATCATTAAATACAAGCCATTATTGATGTAATAGCTACACAAGTTGTCTATCCTTTGTTCGACTTTTACCAAGTTGTGAATATGTCTTATATAAGGACATCAATTAAGGCTTCAAATATAGTAACTATAACCGTTCATTTTCTGCACATCGATGCTGAAAAAAGAGTAAAAGACAGAGCCAAAAAATTGTTTTGCTAAAGAAGAAGCCTTTTATACTTGAGTCAAGGTCGAGTAGTGTACCAACTTGAAAGCTTCAGCAATTCTCCAACTGAAAGCCACTCCATATTGAAGAACTTTTACCCAACATGACTCTTGGCTGAAAGACGTTGTAGTTCCTAAGTTATCGGTCAAGTGATTGTTGTGGAATGACAATACTTCAAGATTCGATATGGTTTTCACTGACTAATTAGAAACAATTCTGTTCCACTCCCAAAGTTGTCCTTTAAAATGCAATATAAATAGAACTCCTATGTAAATGGTGATTGTCTGAAATAGAAAGTTTTTTTCTCTGTTTGTCACATGGGTAGAATCATTTAAGATGCTCTTGTTCTATCGATAGTCAAACGAAATTTTTTATATCGAATATCATCTTTGCAACCGGGTTACTTTCCCTATCTAAGAGTCGGTGAGTTTTCAGTCTAATTCACTAAAACAGAGTTTGGATATATCGTGTTGTTAGTACTTTTGAGATAGAGTTTGAATTGCAAACTAAAATACTTTTTTTAGTATTTGTTCTTATCTTTACTATATTTTCTCTTGGTTCCAATAAGTTTCATATTTGTAGAAGCCATTCATATGAATTCCAAGGCTAGAAATGCAGTTTGAAAAAAACTTATTAAAAACGAAAGGAATCTAAACTTTTATGGAATTTCAAGAAGCTAAAACTCTTTTTGAGACCGCAGTGCAGGTTCTCAAGTTAGAGGAAGCCTCAAGTTTTTGCCGCCACTTTTTTCGTTTGGTCTAAAACCGAGGAAAACTCTCTTCTATTCAGTTAACAAAAGATAGGAAGGACAGTCCAAGTGAAATGTACAAACAACTTTTTCTGTCTCAGTCTTTGAAAATTATAGTAAAAAAGTTACTGTTCTTTTTTCAACAGACTAGAAAGACAACATAGCAGACATTTGAAGAATGTTTTGAGATATTCTTTGGGTAACCACTTTACTAAGTATTTGGACAAGAAAGGATATTTTTCGTTCTAGTTGTATCAACATGTATGTATGTATAGTCTATTCATTTTGAATCATTGCTACAACTCTGCAATATTATTGCAAATTGACAAGTAAATCTAATCTAAAATCCCAAAAAGTAGGACTACGAGAAACATGAAATGCTCTTTCAAGTCCGCTCAATATTTCTTCGTCAATCAGCATTTGGACATCTCTTTCACAAAGAATAACAAGTTCACAATTATCAGGTACTTTGAAAGAATCACCTCCAATAAACATTCCACTGGAGTAACAACGACTCTGATTACCCAACTCATTAGAAACATTCAATGATAACTTTGTACTAACGATAATAAGCATACAATGATGATAATCCACTGCACTGGATAAGACTTGATCATAAACAGGATCTAAAAATTTCTTGGCTTCATCTATAATATCTGACCAGCCAATTCCTTCCGACTTCCAACGTCCTTTACATGCAACTCCAACAGTAAGAACTTTGGGTTCCACAGGAGATTGTAATTGGAATATAATATCAGGACTATGAGAAGTAGCGTCCAAAGGAATGTAAACAGTCTCTAAATAAAGTGTCTCTCGAATAATCTTATTCCATTCAGTACTGGCAAAAGTTCTTCGACTCTTGTTCGATTCACTTCTTGTTTCTCTAGAACTAACAACAGACTTCATATAGTGAATAGGTGATATTGTACTGATTGGAAGTTTCATTTGTTTCCATATTGGAGACAATTGACACAACAATTCCCTCAATTCATTTCGATCTTGAA